TAAATTACAATAATAAAAATAATATTACATAAAAAATGAGAACCTTTAAATAGTTGATTTGATATTAACATTGATATATATATTTTTTTCAAAATTTTATGATATTTTCAAATTTATATTTATTCAAAAATAAAATCATTATTGTTTTATTAAAAACACATAAAATCGTATTATAACATCGATAGAGACAAATAATATAATAGATCATTAAAATCGAGATGTGTCTCGCTGCATTGTACGAATAATCTTCTAGTATTTTATAAAACATTTAACAAAAACTCTTAAAAACATTTTCTATGCATAAAGTACTGTATACTGATGCATATTACTTAAAATTCAAAATTAGAAGTAAATTATGCTAAATATAACTTATTGAAGCTCGATGTTTAAATTCATATAACTAACTATAAATAAACATAATCAAATAGATGATAAACATCTATTTTAAAATAAAAAATATAATTAAGATAATCATTAAGTTTTAACAAAATCATTATTTTTATAAAAATTATATTGTTAAACCAAAAATAAATTACTTCTCTGTTAAACCTAAATTAAATTATAATAAAAAGTTTAATTAAAGAGATCATACCAAAAAACGAATTTTTAAATAGTTAATTTTGTGTTAATATCGATATATTTTTTCAAATTTTTATGATATCTTCAAATTCATTTTTATTCAAAAGTAAAACATATTTTTATCAAAACCACATAAACCGTATTATATATCAACAAAGACGAAATAAAACGAAATATTAAAATGAACATGTATCTCTCTGCATTGTGCAAGTGCCCTTATAGTTATATTAAAACACATAATCGTATATTAACCAAAAATACATAAAAATATATGTTTCTTCTTTATAAATTATACCATTATAATTGTCTCGTCAATACTTTAAAATGACTCCAATAAATATATGTTATTAAATATTAAATAGAGAAAATTCACCAAAATGACTAAATAATACCTCATATATTAGCAAAATAGCCAGCCATATTTAACCCCAAAAAAGCACGAAAAAATATTTTAAATCGATTTGTGAGGCCCAACTTGCCCACCCGTTTCAGGTCGGCCCTGGCCACGTCGAAGAATAAGATTTCATGACTGATTGATCAATATTATAAGAAAACTAATCAATAATTAAAATATAAAATTAATGGTTAATTAAGAAGTGATTAGGGACAAAAATAGACGTTCAGATCAACAAGCGACTTTTTATTTTCTTTTTTAGTTCATAATAACGTTACCCAAAAAGATCTCGTCATGGTTAATGGCTCGGCATGGACTCTCCTACGTCCCTACAGCCCGATAATACATGCATTGCGAGGATGATCTATAATAGACATTGTAGCGGTTCTTTATTCGAAATGAAGGTGGGGCGAATCGGGACGCTTCTTATGGGGCGATCGGCCTAGTGATCATGAAATGAGGTCGTATGATAGCGAGACACTATTTCCACCGCGGTTATAGCACACATATCGCTCAGTTACGTAACACTTCAACTTCTCTAACACGCATATCGCTTGGTTGTGTAACACTTCAAATTCTCTAGCATTTATTTATAACCCCGAATGAAACACAAGATCTTTAACCCAATGAAAATAGAAGTAAAACTATTGTACGCGCAACGATAACATATTTACAATAACGTTACTTATCTTGGCACCTTAAGTAGTGGCTCGAGCCGGCGGTCGTTACAATCGAGAGTGCTATTCTTCTTTCTTTTCCTTTTCCTCCGTCCTCGGTGGGTTGATTTCGACTTCATTCTTTAGTTTCCGCAAAACCTTCGCATCTATCGTGCTGTAAAATCTCTTGCTTTGCATCTGCAACCTCTTCCCATACTCCCTTATCTTGTAATCGTACTTCACCCAAATCGGCGGCACAATCATCCCCACCACCGTCCCTTCACACATAACACCGACAGTCATTAGTGGGGCCGGATTCAAGACCGCGCCGGAGAGGGCGCACGTAATTTTTGTAAGAATTTTAAGGTGAACCCACTTTAAATTGACGCATGCTCCCTCAAATTAACAAAAAGTGGTTACAATCTGCCGAGTATTTCATTATATACACACACATATATATACACACACATATATAGACTTGAGATCATGTGAGACCAAAGGGTTTTTCGTGAGACCCGTAAGACTAATTCTCAACACTTGGACTAGATTACAATCTGAACATTAATAATCACATGATTGCCACGAGACTTCTCAATAATCACAAAATTGTCACCGTACAACTTTAGACCATTAAATCATTAGGTTATAAAATTGATCAATGAACATAAATTGATAAAAACCCTTATTCACGTGAACCCAACCATATATATATATATATATATATATATATATATATATATGTGTGTGTGTACCCTCAAATGGTTTGTTGCAAAATGCAAGTATGCTGATTTTCTGCTTGTTACAGAAAAAATTTCTATATATATATGAAGAGAAACGAACATAGAAATTTTTCCTGTAACGAGCAGAAAATCGGCATACTTGCATTTTGCAAGAAACTATTTGATTTGTCAATTTTTAATAAAATTGTACTTTTTTAATGAATCTGTACTTTTGATTTTCACAATCTAGAAGAAACATTCGATTTTCACTCGGACATAATCACAAACACTTGGTGGGCAAGTAAGGTGCATATATACCTATGTAGAGAAGCGTAAGCAGGTCGGTGGAGCTGCCGATGACGGAAAGTAACCACAACCCGGCAATTGTAGCGGCAAAAACATACCATTCGCTCTCAGCACCAACCTTAAACATCCACCGAGTTGCCTCCTCGGAGAATTCCCTTATCCGATTTGCTATTCTGGTAGCTGTGTTTTCTGATATCCCTAACCCTGACATATTTGGTTCTTCTCTGCAACAAAAATCGATATCAAATTAAGAGATCAATGATTAATTGGTGGAAAGACTGAATCGAATATGAAGAAATTAAATGAGTAATAATTACTTGTAGATGAGTTTGAAGATATTAGCCCAAGCGAAAAGAGAGGAAAGAAGGAAGATGGCGATCCATGAAGCGACGGTGATGAAATTGAATCGGTAAACTTCCATCACCACCCACAACACGGTGGCGGTGGTGAGTACTCCAACACTCATACGCTTCCTCCGCCACATGATGACATCTTTCACCGAGTAATTATCATTATAATCTGGATGAAATTGGATAAACCATCAATGGTGAGGGTTCTGGATTCATTCCAATTCTGAATTCAATTTCCAGAAAAGTAAGTAAAAGAAACGGACCTGTTGATGGAGGAGCAGCCGGCGACGGTGGAGGAGGTGGAGGTGGAGGCGGCGACGGAGAGTGTCTTGTTTCTGACATTTTTGAAGATGATTGAAGCAACTACGGTGAGTTTTGTATGATGTGTAGTTGAATCTGAGATTTTTGATGGTTTTTTTCAAAGGCGGAGGAAGGTGAAGGCTAGAACGGGGACACACAGGTGTCAATCTCGGAGGCGATACACGTCATTGGATGACACGTGGAAGCCATGCATACACACCAGCTGTACTTCTTTTTTCTTGTGGGTTCTTATCTTTAAACGATAGATGCTTCAGAAAATTAAAAAATCGCAAGTCAAAATAATTTCAACACATTTTTATATATTTTTAAATATATAAATATATATATATATATATATATTCAGAAATTAATATTTTTTTTAAAATATCCAGATTTAACATATTATGTATTTCAGATTTTAGTATTAATAATATTTTCGCTTTTTATTATTTTAATTAAAATTTTATATGAAAACATAAAAATAAAATTTTATCGATGAGAATAAATAAAAAATTATTTACGTTTATTTTTTAAAAGATGTTGAAGTCTGAATTATTATTTCACTTCTGATTCATAAAAGGTGGTGGTGAAGTCTAAAATTTGAATCAATAGGATTGTTTGTTTTTGTAAATTGATAAACATCTGAATTTGTTTAATATGTCTTTTTAACCATTAAAAAATATATTGTTGAATTTATAAATAATTTTATTCAATTTCACATATTTATTCATCATTATTAAGAAATTCACATTTAAATTATATAATTAACAATCATTTAAATGAAAACATGTCATTAATGTATTTAACACATTTAAATCCTATTAAAAAACACATCAATTGGGTGACGTGAGGATTGATTTGGTAAGGATTGATTGAGGAAAATGATCGATTAAGGTTAATCAATTGAGAAACGACGTTGTTGAGAGTTTGAAGAAAAATAAGAAGCAAATAAGATGTTGGTTTACCTCTTACAAAATAAAATAACAATAAGACATAAGTGCCTTTAAAAAGATAGAAAAAACAAACAGTCTGAATAGCATTATCTCTTAATGAATCAAACATAATGGGCTAATAAGAGATTTTTTTTTTATAAAAGAACAAACAAAACCTAAGTTTTGGGAAATTTTATGACAGGTTTCTGGCTTTTTTATTTTAGAGAATAAGATAAAAAAAATTATTTAACAAAATAGAGTATCCATTTTTCAATTTTCAATTTTAAAAATTAAACATTTATCATCAGTTTATTAAATCAATAACAAAATGATTTATAGACCTAGGTAAGTCCTTATCAAGTCACACTAACTCATCATATGAATATAGTAAGTACCAAAAATATTTCTCGATAAGAACGAGACAAGAACCAAAAGTACTACCAGGTAAGTGAGGGCGACGACTCTTACCATGGTAAGCACTTACCGGACAAATTGTTGCATTCAATGTTGTTTTGGTGGACTAAAATTTTATCCGGTAAGTAAATAATAGTGTTAAATTTACCGATAAACACTTAACGTATAAGTGTTTGGTTAACAACCCCTTAATTTAAAATCCATTAGCATTGGGCTTGGGCCTCTATAATATAGTATAGATAAAGAGCACACGTTTCTTGGGCCTTTATAATTTAGTGGTTTTTCAAGTCTGAAAATAACATAACAATTTAGTAACTTTTCGATTAAGGGGTTGTTTGTTTATCTTTTAATAATTCCATTAAGAGGCAACCTCTGAATCGTTAAGAGATGAATCTTGTTTGGCAAAAAAAAATCTGTCTATTAATGGTTCTAAAACCCTCTGAATGATTTTGTATCATGGATCTCCCTTAACCATTAAGAATCCTAATTTCATTGTAAACAATTACCATTAATTAAACTTTAATTGTTTAATTGAATTCATTTTGTTTTTTTATTATATTTACTATAATGCTACTGATTTGATAAAGTGTCAGAAGACATTGCATTTTATTAATATGTAACATATTCACTTATATTTAGTTTAACTGAAGTTGTAGAATATATAAATAATAGTATAATGTGCTCGGTTTTATCGAAATAGTAACAGGGTCAACTAGAAACCGAACAGAATAAATTATATGTTAATGGTTAGCCGAACTGTTTAATTCAAAAGTTGAATGAACTGAAACCGTCTTGGTTTGAATGAGTTATCGGTTTCGGAATTTTTGGACATTTCTAAACACCCCCTTAATGATAAAAGTTTCTGGATCCGTCACTCTGATATACAACGTCATTTAATATTCTTAGTCTGAAAATTCAAACAAATATGGATTTTGTAACATAATTTAAAGGGAAAAGTTCAGAAAAGCCGTATGAACTATCCCATTTTGAACAATTAAGTCCCTAAACTAAGTGAAAAAACATTAAACTTTCTCATTTTTAATGATTAAGTCCTGGAACTACTTTTTGGATGGAAAAAAAGCATTAAACTTTCTCATGTTAAATAATTAAGTCCCTAAACATTTATTTTCAATAAAATCCGAACTTTTAAAAATTTGTTACTTACATCATTTTAACAAGAAAAAAAAAATTAAAACCGACTAGAAAGGTCTTAAAGCAAATAGTTGTCACTCCCTAAAAATAGATCAAAAAGAGGGAAACCGATGGTAGGGGTCAACAGTGTGATAGCCGATATGAAGAACGGACAACGATTGGACGACGTGGAGTGGCGAGGGGGAGTGATACCGTTGTTTGCGAGGTGTTTGAAGGGCGTAGGATTTGAAAACAGTAAAATTAATTTAGGTTTATTTATACTTTAAGATTATTCTAGTCGGTTATATGTTGTTTTTTTTTTGTCGGAAGGATGTAGGTAACCAATTTTAAAAGTTTGATGGCTTAAAAAAATATCAATGACTTAATCATTCAAAATAAGAAAGTCTAATGGTTTTCTATTCAAAAAAATAGTTCAAAGGCTTAATTGTTCAAAATAAATAAAAAAACTTAATGGTTTTTCATTAAAAAAATAATCTAGAGACTTAATCATTTAAAATAAAACTAGAAGGATATTTGCGCAATGCAACAAGATCCATCTCGATTTTAATGTTCTATTTTATTTTTTGTTTTTGTCGATGTTATAATATGATTTTATGTGTTTTTAAGAAAGCAATAATGATTTTATTTTTAAATAAAATATAAATTTGAATATATCATAAAATTTTGAAAAACAAATATGAATATTAATATCAAATCAACTATTTAAAAGTTCTTATTTTTTATGCAATTTCTTTAATTTATTTATTTTATTATAATTTAGTTTAAGTTTAATAATGAAATAATTTATTTTTGGTTTAATAATATATAATAATTAAGTATTATGTTAGAACTAATTAATTATCCTAATTATATTTTAAACTTTTTATATTTAAAATGGGATGTTTATCTTATATTTGATTATGTTTATCTGCAGTTAGTTACACGAATTCAGATATGGAGCTTTAATAAGTTGTAATTACACAAAATTTACTTGCAATTTTGAGTTTTAAGTAATATGCATTATTAAACATTAATTTACGTATAAAAAGTTGTTTTTAAAAGTTTTTGTCAAATGCTTTATAATACAGTATAAATAGATTATGTAATTTCTTTAATTTATTTTTTAATT